CCGAAGTAGCAGAATGGATGTTGTTGATATTGTGCAGGTGTCTCTTCCAGGCCGAGCTGCTGCGCCTTCCCCTGCGAAACCACCTGTAATTGTATTGATTACTCCCCGTAGGGGAGCTGACCCTGGTTCCTGACTTACCTCGGCTTGCACCGCTCCGCCGACATTTTGCTAAGAGCCAGAGGGTTGGTCCGTGTGAGCTCCTGAACCACGACCTATGCCTCGTCCTCATCCACCATGGCCTCCTCGATGACCCTGCTGTCGCTAGATATATTGGCCGAGGTGGCCTGCCTGGATGAGCTCTTCAATACGGTCTCGGAGTGTGTGGCACTCCTCAATGGTGTGACCGTGATTTCTGTGGTACCGACAGTGCTTGGATTTGTCGACACTGTTGGGGGTGTGACCTGGCGGGGGCATGGTGAGCAAGTTACTGTTACTGGCCTCCTCCAGGATATGTACTCGGGGCGTGTTCAGGGGAGTGTAGAAGTCGTATCTCCCCCCTCTGTTTGCTCTAGCCGACTTCTTGAACTGGCTATCATTGTTGACCTTGATCTTGTCCTTGTGACCCTGTTCTGGTTTCATTAGTCCTTTACTGCGAACCTGGTCACAGAAGGCGGAGTGTTCCTCCATCTAGATGTAGCCCGCAGCGCATATATATATATATATATATATATATATCATATAATATATAAGTTTAAAAACAACTATACAAGTATAAAAATAATATAAGTACAATAATTTAGTAAATATCAAATATATAACCTAAGTTGTTAGTCAAGTAGTACCTATATAAAAGCTACAAAAAAACTAACACAAAATATCCAGTTACACTGTCATCCCCTTGACGGCCTCCTATTACACATCTCCTCAAGCTTATTTATTGTTTTATTCTCATACCAAATATGATCATCGTAGTCTAATCACATAAAATCAAGCAAGGGTAAGCTAGATTTTCAAAAAAGATCAAACATACAACAAGTATAAAAGAATATAACTATACCATAAACACCAACATGCAAACACACCAAGCAACATCTCATGCCCTGCATCATACAACCATTGAAAGCATAACACCCAAGCAATTCAAACTTGCACCACAACCATATCATACAATAAGATATTCACCTAACAAATATGATCAAAATCAATCCACACCACATCATATACATACATCACAATTAATGTGTTGTCATGCATTTACCTACGAAGATCTTCTAAAACACATGAGCAATCTAAGTAGCTTGATCTTACTAAACCAACCTAATCGTTTTCACGTCTCATGTGTTTGCTAAATTGATAACTAAATTAGGATATCAATCTATATTCTTTGATTTCGTGGGTGTCATTGCTTAACCTAGGAAAGTACGGTTCCATCGTTAAGACAAGGATAACTGGGTATTGGCGTATTACAACCTTAAAATACATTATCAAGTCACTTATGACATTAACTTACTAACTATCCTTGAGGTACAATGCAACCTTTCCAGAAATCAGCTAAGGATTGTAGCCCTCAACTTCATATCTTATTCTAACATTGACTTAGGACTTAGAGGAGACTCACCAATCCACCCCAAGAATTTCATAACTGGTCAAGGAGGGTTCTCAACAAATGACCTCCCAAAGCGCCATATCAATATCCATATTAACAAATATTTCAACTTTCAAAAATAACATTTTATCCTCTAATCTTAAGTCAATCAACATATTTTAATGCCTATAATATTTTTAGCATCAGCACCTCAACACACAATCATTTATATGCATTACCGTAGGTCAATAATATAAAGATCCAACAACATCTTCAAAATATAGTGTTCTTACCGGAGATCTGCTGTAGAGGTGATCCGCCGAGTAAGATTGGTGAGCCTCCTTCGCGGGTACGTTGGTGTTCCAAGATGGGGGTGGTACCTGCAAAAGAGACTCTGATGCTAAAGTTAGGATTTGTATGAGTACGAGTCTCGTATAAATAGTGCATGTACCTTAGTGTGAATTAGGGTTACGTTGGGCCTTGGGCCTGAGATCAGTTATGATCTGGTTGGATTGCGGATCTCGTTTAGACCGAGGTCTCCAAATGCGTGTTCCAAGGTCATTCCACGCAACGATGCCGAGCTCGAGCTCGGCATGGCAGTACGGATAGTACACTAGCCCCCCGAGCTCCGAAGACCGTGGGTCGAGGAGTTTAAGACCGAGCTCGTCAGGGAGCAGTGACCTTTCACGTACGCCTGCCTGCCAAGGTGCCATGTGTCATATTTGTCGCTTCGTTCTTGAGAACGTGTGGGGGCGCGTTACTGAGGAGTGGCGGTTATGTAATGATGGCCGTGCTTGCCATAGTGGGGCTCATTACATGAGTTGCCAGTTATGCTTTCTCTCTCCGACACGTGGCATGACCGTTTGAATTTAGGAAGTCTTTTTTTTTCTCTTTCTCTCGCGCCTCTTCATTCACTTTACTCTTTTCGTTTCTTCTTCTTCCTTAGCTCCTTGCGCACGCTTCTCCCTGGGTTTTCGCTCTTGGTATTCCCGTTCCCGTTTCCGGTAACCCCGTTGTCGTTAGGGTTATTTTCTGATAGAGAGTACCAGGTACTTCCTTTCTGTAATCTTCTTTTTCCTTCTTGTCAAATCTTCTTTCTTTCTTGATGGTTGGAGAGGGTGGTGCTGGATCCTCCGCGCCTGCCAAGGGCAAAGGTAGGGCACGGGGCAAGGTGGTGGCTACCGGAACGGCCGCCGCCGAGAAGAAGAAGGTGGAGAACCCGCCTAAGGACCTCGTTCCAGGCATTCCTAGGTACAATTGGGTTCGGCGTGAGATGGGTGAAGCCTAGAGTGTGTTCTGATCTTTTCTTGAGGTCAATGCGATTTGGAAATCGTATAGAATTTGTGACCCTCCCCATTTCTATGTCTTCCAATGCTTCTTTAGGGATTTAGGTGTCTGTCTTCCCTTCACTCAATTCGAGTGCACCCAAACAGTTGGGGTTTTTTGAGGGCTTTTTAGGTCTTGTGTTCAGCTCTAGGGATAGAGGTGTCACTTCCCGTCTTTCTTCATTTTTACCAGCTGAAGATAGGCATTCCGCCTTACGGCATACTATCTCTGAGTGGGAGTAGGGATGGAGGTTTATTCACTCTTTACTCCTAGTCATACAAAAATTTTAAACAAGAGTTTTTCCGGGTTGCTCTTGTGGACGTCGACCCGTTAGAGAACGAGGCATTCTATTTCGGCAGGCTGCCGAAATTCCCCTTCTATTGGTGCCCCAAACCGTCTAGGTTTCACGGGGTGGGCCAATTGAAATTGACGGCTTCGGAGGCGGCCGCCATTGAAAGTCTTGCAACGCTTCCTCGCCCGCTGGATTGTAAGCTCGTTCTGTCGCTTGCGAATTCGACGTACAAGGAGAGGGGCCTAGAGAGTGAGTATCTCATCCTCTTTTGATTGTTAGGGTTTGTGAGATCCTCTTTTGTTGATGTGCTTTGTTTTTTGTGCTTGTAGGTATAATGGACAGGAACAAGTGGCGTGAGCTGAAGCACCGCTATTACGTTGCCGAGATCGAGGTCCCCGAGCCTCAAGAGGAGGAGATTTCCCCCCTGAAGATTAACCGAAAAAGAAAGAGGGGCGATAAAGAGGTCGGGGGGACCTCTGCCCCTTGTGG